CCATTCACCCGCTGTGTGAAGCCTATGATGTTCCTCAGTGTCTGCAGCCTTGGGCATGTCCACAGTCACCCTGGGATGACAACGGTTTTATCAGGGCTCTCTGTGACTGACTCTTTGACTCTTTCTCTAATCTTTCTCTTAAGCTGTCTGCCTCTGTTGGCATTACATACACCAAGCTATTAGCCTCTACTAATTGCCAGCTGATTGCTCTATTGTCTTTGACAACGGCCTGGGGCATAAATTGCTCTGTAGTCTGACCCAACTAAATTCAGCCCCATTTGCAGGATAGTTCTCCAGGCCAGTCTTTGGACTTTGTTCTGACACCATGAGGGTATTTTTTATCTGTCGCTTTTCCTGGTTCTCCCTTGTAAACTAATTGGCCTATAGTTTAGCTTGTTGTTGTCATGAAGCTACCGCGTGCTCTTAGCTAAGGGAGTCCCTGAACCCTGGCCACATTTGCCTGGAATTCAAGCTCTGCAACCCTTAGCTGGCGGAGGTGAGAAATGCTGATGGCCTGCCTCTCCCAAGGAAGCACCATATCCCTCAAATGGGAGCTGTGGGGAGAGGATCCCCGTGCTCTTGATGAACAGCCTGGAGTTGAGTTTCCGTTACGCTAGGCTAGAAGGAGAGAGGGAGTGGGAAGGAAGTCATGGTTCAAATGTCACAGATTCTTGCTCCTTCTTACTGAGTTTTAGTAGATTTTCTTGAATAAGAAGTCTGTGTCTTTGTTTGCTTAGGCCTTTAGGACAATTTCCAAAGGCTCTAGATAATTGTTTTAAAAATAATCTCCACCAGTTACGTTTGTTTCACTGGGGAGCAATTCCGTAGAGTTCTCTTGTCATCATTTCAGATGTCGCCACCCTGCCATGCTCTTTTCTACTGCAGTAGCTAAGCTTCTAGAATTTGGATCTCTGGCTGCTTCAAGTCATCATCATGCTCATGGGGTGAGCCTTGCAAGGGACTGACGGAGAGCTAGACAGACCCCTGGTGACAGACAGGAGCCCCTGGATCTAGCTGTGCTTGGGATTAGCCCTATCATTTGGACTTTGCAGTCATATAAGCCAATAACTTTCCTTCTTTACCTAGCTAGTTGGAGTTGAGTTTCTCTCCCACACAACCAAGAGGTGTTAACTAACATCCTGAATGTCAAACCTTTAATAACGTGTGAGCAAATGATAAGTACTGTGGAAAGCTGGTTCAACAAAATTGTTATATAGGGTCATTTCATGTCATCTTTTTAGTAGCTAATCTCATCCCAATAATTTATGGCCTCTTGGTGCTTGATGAAATATACAGACATCATTTATGGTGATTCTAATTGACGTTCCTCTTAATAAGATTTTTTATATATTCCTAGTCACCTGTCAATATTTGTTGATATTAAAAGGGTTATTTCCAAGGGAGCCTCAGTGTTAATTACTAATGCTGAGGTATAATATTAATAATAATACAGAGGCTTGACCTTAATTATAAAAAGTTGTCCAAGTCAAGTAAACCTCCCTTTTCCATTAGCCTATGGCAAACTCATTAGAACATCTCTAGTAAGCACACAGTTTTCCAAATAGTGGACCCACTTACAGACCTCTTTAACAAACCATGTGTGGAAAAAGGGAAGATTTTATGTGTTGCCCTTGATGTGATACAGAAAATCCAGGGAATGTAAGAATTTTGTTTATTTGGCGTGGTACTCCTCTGAAATATTAAAGAATGGGACAAATTTGTTGGAAATATAGAGTCTGAAAACTCTCAGGACAAATTTACAGGTCGAGGCTGGAAGCAATTTTATCCTGTCTCTCTTCATAAAATTCTTCCCTAACATCTTTCTTGAGTGTGGATGCTTATAGCAACTGATGGGGGTGAGAAAGACATCAGACATTAATATAATCTCAGAACTTATTAAAACTTGGTTAAAAAAAGTTTTTTTAAATTTCTCCCTGGGTGAGGCCTGGAGACTGCCTTTACCTACCTCACGTTACCGTATGAGGTCCCGCTTGCCAATAAAGTTTCTGAAGATTCTGCAATCCAGTGATCTCTGTCACGGTTTAACTATCTCTAGGGTCCCCAGAGAAGCACAATTATTGAGGAGACAGGTCCTTGTAATCAGACAGGCACAGCATGTAACAAAACGTATAGATCCATTATAAAATCCCACTAATTCCTATTAAATGGGGGCGAGGTGATGTGAATTCATGAAACTCAATTATTCTTACAGAAGTAAAGGCTTCCTTGCCTTTGCTAAAAAGGGCAAAGTCCTCCAGGATCAATTTCAATACAGATTTGATTTATTTGCAATTGGCATATTGTTTTAAATACCTTAAGCTTCTGAATTACCTGAAAGCAGTATGCGTCTTGCAGAGCTTAATCAAACCATCTGCAGTTTAGTTTGCACTAATAACGGTCCTGTTTTTAGGACCATTATTCACAGAAATAGAAAAGTAAATATCCACTGACTTTTAGGACTTCATAAATCTTGAATTGGTAGGATGTGAATTCCACTAATTGTAGTTGAGAATCTAATAGGCTTGAGTTGCAAAGCCTTGTGCTCTGATCTTATTCTGATAGTAAAATCTTACCAGAGAAAGAGTTTCTCCCACAGGTTGCAGGTAGATGACAGCCCCTTAGAAAATCGGTAAGACTGTGGCCTCAGTCAATTGACCGACTACTTGCTGGAATGCTTGCATTTCAGGATCTCCATCTTCTCTGTGTGCATCAGCAGCATACCTGATTTGGTTTTATAGAGATGAATTTCAAGGAAAACATCACCTAGACTTTATTTCAAATTATCCTGAGGATCCATATGTCTTACTGATGCAGAAAAATGCCACGTTCATAATCTACTGTTTTGATACACAACTCAGAGAAGGTAAATGTCCTGTCAACCACAATCTCTCCTTATTATTTTCAAGGAGCCCCGGTTTCCATTATCAAAAGCAGATAAGGGATGCCAGCACTCATTTGTCATTCAAAATGGAATACTTACTTAGTTGGAATGAATGAAAACCATCATGGTGGGTTTGTTTTTTAACTGCAGCAATAAAGTCACAATTCAAGGTCAGGGAAAATTCAAATGTGGTTCCACTGGGTTGCTAACATTTTTTGGATAGGTTAGAGAGACAATTTTCCAACAGGAATCATGGCTATTTAATACTTCTTTTCCCCTAAAGTGGAGACAGGAAGCAAAAACCTGACTTTTTTTTTTCTCATTTTCACAAATGGTAATTAGTTTTTACATCAGCAACCTAGAGATTTGAGTGCCAATTTGAGGCAGTCTTTGCTTACCTCCATTTCCATGTAATTAATTTCATCTCACAACATGTATAAAGGTGTGTGGCATGTGAGAAACGGGTGCTTTAATGGGTTAGCAAGCTTGTGCAGCAGATCAGAGCCACCAGTGCATCGAGCCCTTGCTCTTCTCACAGGTTCTGTGTGGGAAATGCTAATTTAGGGTTTCAGACCAACAGATGGTAAGACTTCCCTGTATGGATGTCTCCCAGGTACCTCAAAATTAAAACATCACCCAAATTAAACTCTTCTTCTCCCTTACCAAAACTGGTCTTCCTCCAGGCTTTTCCATCTCTAAATAGCATCAGCAACCATTTAGGTTGAACCAAAACAAACTGTCTTTTGTGTAGGTCATAAATAGCTGGATAACGGCAATTTCAAACCGGTCATGCTTAATAGTTGTTCAGGTCAGAAAACTGGGTGAAATCCTTGTTACCTCACTTGCCTTCAACTCTTACAAGCAGCCAATCATGAGGACTGGTACATTCTATTTCTCAGGCAGGTTCCGAATCCATCCCTAAGGCACCCTCCATAGCCCAAGTTATTATTAACTGGCCTCAGCAATTCCACTGTCCGCACTGTAATGAACCAGTGTGTCCTCTTTAAAACACAAGTAGTCAGCTCATCCCACTTCCATGCTGGAAATCAACCAATGGCATCTCTGCCTGTAACCCAAAGACCAGACACTTCAACATGGCTTACAGCGCCTGCAAACGCCAGCTTCGATCCCACCTCACTCTATTTTTCTGGTTACAGTATCTTTTTTTATTTTCTCAAGCACACTCCTTCCCAACTCAGGGCCTTTGTACACACCGTTCCATCTTCCTGAAACCCTTTTCTCTGTCATTATCCCCGAGCCCTTGTCACTCAGTGACCCCTACTTCTTCATCCACACCTCAGCATAAATGCCGTGCCTCAAGAGAACATCTTACGGCCTCTCCCAGACCAGAGGGCAACCTCACGTTACACACATTCACGAGACCATTCTCCACCTCAGCACAGATCACACTTCTAGCTGCCTATTCAATGCCCGGCTGGATTCACACTCAAAGGGGGCGAGACCGCAGCTATCTTGTTCACTGCCATCTCACCATCACCAAGCCAGGGCCTGGCACCTAACGAACACTCAGTGCAATTCACAATTCAAAGTTGCCATCTTGGCTCAATGAGAGTCTCAGTTTTGATATATCGTCAGTGGTTTTTCTATTTAGAATTTTTAAAAAGGAAAGAAAAACATTCAATTTAAAAATTCAAAACTGAAAGCCTGACCCAGAATTCTGGACCTTTTCTGAATTATCCCGTGGCACGGCTCCATCTAGTAGTAGTTACTGTTTTAAGTGAAATAATAATAATCAAAGCTCCCATTTATTAAGGGCCAACTATGTGCCAAGCCTGTGGAAGAAACTGGTGTTTAGAGAAGTTGGGGGGTCTCCTGAGGTTCACAGCTACCAAAGGGTGGAGCCACAGTCACAAAGACCTATAACCCAAGACACGCTTTGGATGCTCTCGGTCCCTCAATCTTTGGGAAAGAGAACTTCTCCAACATAGGTCTCTCTCTATACACCCTGCAGACTAAGACCATCACCTACAGAACCCGAGAGAAACACATTTTCAGCTGTTAGTAAGATGTCTCTATAAACACACTCCAGTTAATTTCACCACATTTCCAAGAGCAGTTCTCTCCGAAGCAGCATCTTATTAAAAGCAGGTGTTCCTACCGGAAGAAAGAGTCTCTGGGCAGCACAGGGTTTGAATAATTTCTTCCATTCCTGAGGGTTGCCAACTGAAAATGTGATGGGGTAGATCCTGTGCTCAAACTTCTTTGTATAGGAGTCAGGCCACTGTCGCAACTGGAAAACATGGAAGGCAAGAGGATGGCGATTAGACCTCCGAATCGTGGAAAACCACCAAAGCTTCAGAACGGTCAAGTGGAAATCACTCCGGCAACTTATATAGCAAGTCTAACTTCATCACTGAATGAATGCAAGACCACTGCTAGGATTTCAAGAAATAGCATCCAGAGTTGGTGAGGATGGGAAATTGGTACATAAATACTGCAAGTGGAGTATAAATTTGAACAAATTTCCAAGAGAGCGATTTGGAAATTGGTAACATCAAACCCAAAAGACAGAGGTACAAGGACTTTCACCAAAACCTAGTTTTTAATTAAAAAAAAAAAGAGAGAGAGAAAAAACCAAATGCCCAATAATAGGGAATTGGGAAAATTAATTATGGTAGAAGTATACAATAAACTAAGGCACAGTTAGAATAAGGTAGACCTGTATGTGCCGGCATGGAAAAACAGTTATGATACATAGTTAGGTTTTAGAAAAAGCAAAGTGCAAAAAAATATTTATAATATAGTTCTGTGTTATAGGGAAAAATATAGGCATATATATTTTACATGACAGAAAGGTCTAGACGAGTATGAACCAAACTGCTAAAAGTGGGCACCTGTGGAGGTGGTGGTTTTGCTTTCTAAGTTTACATTTCTGTACTCTTTAGAATTTTTACAGTGAGTATATATCCCTTTCTCTGCATATGTTAATTTTATAGCCAAATTACTTTAATAGACTTTATTTTTTAGAGCAGTTTTATGTTTACAGAAAAACTTAGCAGAAGTACAGAGACTTCCCATATATCCTGTTCCCTTCCCTCCTCACCAGAGCTTCCCCCGTTATTAACATCTTGCACAGCGCAGTACGTTTGTTACCACTGAACCAATATCCATGCATTATTAAGTAAAGTCCATAGTTTACATCAGAGTTCATTCTTTGTGTTGTATAATTTTACAAGTTTTGATAAATGCAAGATGTCCTGTACCTACCATTACAGTATCATACAGAATAGTTTCACTAACCTAAAAATCCCCTCTGCTCCACCTGTTCGTCCCTCTCTTCCTCCCCTATCCAAACTCCTGGCAACCATTCATCTTTTTACTGTCTCTTAGTTTTGCCTTTTCCAGAATGTCACGTAGTTGGAATCATAGTGTATATAGCTTTTTCATATTGGCTTCTTTCACGTAGCAATATACATTTAAGGTTCCCTTATGTCTTCTTGTGGCTTGATAGTTTATTTACTTTTTATCACTGAATAATATTCCATTGTCTGGATGTACCACAGTTTATTTATCCACTCACCTACTGAGGTACATCTTGGTTGCTTCCAGTTTTGGGTGATTACAAATAAAACTGCTATAAACATTCACGCGCAAGTTTTTGTGTGGACAATTTTTCAGTTCATTTGGGTAAATAGCAAGAAACATTTAGCTTTCTAAGAAACTACCAATCCACCTTCCAAAGTGGCTGAACCGTTTTGCATTCCCACCAGCAATGAGTGAGAGTTCCTGTTGCTCCACTTTCTCATCAGCATTTGGTGGTGTCAGTATTGTGGATTTTAGCCATTTAAGAGATGTGTGGTGGTATCTCGTTTTAGTTTGCAATTCCCTAATGACATATGATGTTGAGTAGTCTTTCATAGCTTACTTGCCCTCTGTGTATCTTCTTAATTTTTTGAGTTAATGCCTTCCCATTGCCATAATAATTCTACTTCTAAGAATTTACCCGAAGGACAACTTCCAAAAGTGCACATATGTTTATTACAAGGGTGTTTGTTATAGTGTTGTTTGTAACGGTGAAAGATGGGAAACAACCTAAACATGAGATTGGTTAAATAAGCTCTGGGGTATGTCTACACAGCAGAATACTATGCAGCCACTGGTGACAATGTCATGGAATGAGGGTCAGCAAACTACGGTTGTGCGTGGGCCCAATTCAGCCTGCTAAAAATAACACACAAGCCAAGAACGGTTAGACATTTTTAAATAGTTGAAAAAAATAAAAACGCGAGTAATATTTTGCAACACATGAAAATCACACGAACTTGAATTTCAGTCTCCAGAAATAAAAGTTTCATTAGAACACAGCCACACCCATTTGTTCACATATTTCTATGGCTGTTCTTATGATAAAGAGCAGAGTTGAGTAGCTGCAAGACCATACAGCTTGCAAAGCCTGAAACAGCTACTATCTGGCCTTTTACAGAAAGAGTTGGTTGATCCTGTTTTGGAAGAAATTGATAATATAAGTGTCAGTGATAGAAAGAGAATATAAACTATGATCCCACTTCTGATGCTGAAATGAAAAGGAATGGAAATAAAGACACCAGAATTGTCCTTCCTGAGCATTAGTATCATGGTTGATATTTTTCATTTATGATTTTATGACTTTTTTTTCACAATGTACATATATTGCTTATATAGTCACATAAAAATTTGTGAAAAAACATACCACTGGGAAGGCTTTAAATTTGCAGTTTTGAGATGGATGTTTGGGAGAGAAATCTCAGAGTGAGAAAGAGTAGGAGTGAGAGTCAAAGTATTTGACAACTGATTTCCCAAGGGCACTGAGCAATCGGAATCCCCATCAGGCACAAACACCCAGTACAGCTGCACAGACACATCAGAACTGACACTGGGCACAAACATTCAGTGCAACAGGACCAACCAGTCAGAACGCACACTGGGCACGAATACCCAGGACAAGTGTGCCACTGCACAAGAGCCCAAAATCAGCCCGGGAAGTTAGAACGGGAGGGTCCTCAGGTCTAACAGTTTCCTTGACTCTTTGATTTTTAGCACCCTATCTTCTAGAAGGGTTTATCTACACTTGCCAATCTATATCTTTTAACTGGAATGTTCAGGCCAGTTATATTTGTTACTATGCATATATTTGAGTAGTATACTGACTCCAGCCACTGGAAGTTCCTCTTGGCACCTCTTCCCATGGCAAAGTTAAACATACACATACACACACACACACACACACACAGAGGATGTTGCTGCCCCACCGGCCCCATCTATCACCAGAATGGATTGGTGGCCATCCCCTCTTCTGTGTCCCACTATTTGCCAATTCTGAGTCTGGGGCAGGAGCACAGATTAGCAAAACCTAAAGCAGATGTCTGATCCTGAGCTGCCTGGAGAGGCTGGGAAATCAACCAGCTGGCCTTTTCTGCTTCTATATTGGGAGATGACAAAAATAAATGAAACTTTAAGGTATTAAATATCTACAATGTGGATGGTAAATACCATCAGACACATTGTCCTTAAGCAGCTTTAAAAAACATTCTACTTAAATATAACAGAACTCGCCTGCAATGCAGCTTCCAGAGGAATCATGATGACAATTAGAATTTTGTTTTGTTTTGCTTTTACCCTGAGGTATGTAGCCGTGGGCTTACCAGGAAGTTATCACAAGAAATTATGGATATTCCCATAATGCCTCAGTGTCAGAACTGACAGCCTTGAGAAGGTTGCATAACCCGCCTCTCACATCAGCATCTCCTGTGGCTGAGCAGACACCAACAGCTGCTATCTCCTACTTCAGGGCTAACACAGTGCCCAACATATAGGAGCTGTTCCAAAGAATCTTTGTGGAATGGGAGAATAAACAGATTACCTGGTTCAGCCCCACAATGACACTCTGCAATAAGCAGAGTGAGAATCATTTGCCCCTTTTGTGTATCCACTAAAGTTTTTGCTTAGCTCTTGACACAGATGAAGAAACTGACTCTTGGAGAAGTTCTGCGACTTATGTAAGAGCCAATGTTTTAAATCTAAACCCGCATCATAATCCCAGCATGGACAAGAAAGGGGTGACACCACATGCCCTGCCTAGCTTTGCACTCTCTAATATAATCTCTTCTGTTGGTTGAGTTTCACTGGTCTAACAAAGACCTGAGGAAATGAGCCATCGAAGGGGTAAAGTCATCAGGGCAATTCAAGCATCTGCAATGATCTTCCCATACGATTTAGCTCCTGATTTATAATGTCCCAATTACTGTGGCTCATAACAAATTACCCCAGAACTTAGTAGTATAAAATAACTGTTTATTATGCTCCTAGATTCCATGGATCAGGAATGCAGACAAGGCACACAAGGGACAGCTTGACTCTGCTCCATGATGTCTGGGCCTCAGCTGGAGGCCTTGAAGGCCAGAAGCTGGATCATTGAAGGCGCATTCATGTACATGTCTGGCCGTTGAGGCTAGCTCCTGTCTGTGTGGGCCTCTCCATGTGGTCTCTCCATAAGGGCTAGTTTGGGCTTCCTCACTGCATGTTGGCCGGGTTCCAGGGGCAGGAATCCCAAGAAAGAGCCAGACAGAAGCTGTATCTTTCCTGTGACCTAGCCTCAGATGTCACAGGACATTTGGCACATTCTATTTTATATATACACACACATTACCCCAAAACTTAGTAGCTTACAACCAAAAACATTTATTATCCCATATAGGTTCTTAGGGTCAGGAACCTGCGAGCTGGGTTGTTCTGGCTCAGGGCTTCTCATCAGGTTGCAGCCCAACTACTGGCTGGGGCCACAGTCATGTGCAGGCTTGCTGGGCTGGAGGGTCTGTCTCCAAGCTCACTCACCCGAGGGTCAGCAAGAGGCCTTTGCTCCTTCACACGCAGGCCTCTCCAAGGGCAGCTCTGACATGGCAGCTGGCTGCCCCCAGAGCAAGTGACCCACGAGAGAGAGAGAGGGAGAGAGCAATCAAGATGGAAGGTACAGCGCCTGTTCAAACCTCACCTCTGAAGGGACACAGCAGCATCTCTTCCCTATGTAATTGGTCACACAGAGCAACCCTGGGACAGTGTAGGAGGGAAGCACACAGGGTGTGCATAATAGGCCTTGGGGGCCCTGGGGGCCTCTTTGGAAAATACAATCTGCCACACATGTGTAGTTACACATACACATCTTCCTCCCCCTTCTCTTTTCTAAAAATTTTGTTCTGCTCCATCTTCATGCCCTAGCTTCTAGTATACTGTAGGTACTCAATAAGTACTTGTCAGATGGACATTGTACAAGACATTCCTAGCGTTTGTTCACAGCCAGCTTCCTCCATTCCAGCACAAAGAGTACTTCTCAGCCCCCTTGGAGTTGGGTGGGCCTTGTGACTGCTTCTGGACAGTTAAATGTCACCAGAAAAGACCTGAGTCACTGTGAAGGCGAGGGGTGAAAAGCCCAGTGGGGATCTGAGAGTCGCTGTCTTTCCTGCAGCGGCATCGCAAGAACTGCAGAAGCCAGTGTTCCAGCAGCTGCACAGACAGGCACGAATAGTCCGTCAACCTTGTTCCCAGACCTAAGTGGCTGTGGGGACGGAGACCCTGCCGCCCGCGTGAGACATGCGGAAAGTCTCTGAGCTTTTTGGGAGTAGTTAGTGCAGCCTGACTTAGCCTTCCCTGAGTACAGATATATCACCTCTTTTATCAATCCTGCTAGCCCCAAGTCGCAGATGGGGAAACTGAAGCTCAAACAGGTCACGAGACTTGGCGGAGATCACACAGCAAGTAAAGAGCGGAGCTGAGTTTTCTGTCTACTAGCTCGGGAGGGAGCATCACACAGGTTAAGTTCATGGAGGTCTGAGTCAGTAACCTTGAACTGACACCTGATGAGCAAGACACGAAAACTCTCTAAGTCTCAATGATCTCAGTTTGGGAAATAGAGACATGATTGTTACCATCTTCAAAGGGTTTAGGTAGGAATTAAATAAGAGTAAATCATAAATTGTAAGCCCTTAATAAAGGCTATTTTATTTATTTTTTTGGTGAGGAAGATTGGCCCTGAACTAACATCTGTGCCAGTCTTCCTCTGTTTTGTAAGTGGGATGCCACCACAGAGTGGCTTGATGAGCAGTGTGTAGGTCCACGCCCAGGATCAGAACCTGTGAACCCTGGGCTGCCGAAGCAGAGTGCACGAACTTAACCACTACACCACCCAGCTGGCCCCAATAAATGCTATTTTTTATTGCTATTATTATTATTATTGTCATTTCCCTTACACCTCAGCTTCAGAGCAGCTATCTATGTGTGTTTCAACCTGTTTCCTTTCCCTTTCACCTGACTCTGATCTTTTTCAAGGTATTTTCTAACCAATTTCAAAGCCCCAAGATCATTTGTTCCCCTGGCTTCTCTTGGTGAAGATGTCATGGTAACTTTTTTCTTTAGACAACATAACACATTTTCTAGCTTTCTGTCACTAGCCTTTCTCTGCCCAAAGTGCTTCTTGGGTGTTTCTCATCAGTGCAGCTAACCCGGTAGCAGGATGCGGCACTGTTCACTCAAGTTGGTAGATACACAACAAAACACGTTCTTGCTCTGCCAGCACTCAAGAACTTCTTGCAAGAGAAGAGTTACAAGGAAAATAAAGCTTGGTCTGCAAAGTCATGTAGATACCTGGACTGGGAGAAGAGGCATTTCCAAAGTGCTCCTTTGTCCTGGTACAAAAACGTTATCCGTTCCTCAGTATAGGAACAGTCGAATAAATGATGACCCAGACACATAATAATATACTATGCAGTCACCAAAAAGGATGAGGCAAGAGTGTATGAGTCCTGACCTGGAATGATGCTGATGCCATGGTTTTAAATGAGGAAAAGCAAGTCCCAGAACAACACAGAGAGAATACTCCTGATTTTGTAAACGAAGTACATTTTAATCTGGGTACATACATACGTGTGTTATACGTGTATATGTCTCTATACACAAATATACATATATACACACTCACACAGATACATAAACACACACACCTGTACGTGAAAAAAACATATGGAAGAATTGCTCAAAATTGTTAACTCTGATTGTTGCTTGGGTGGGACTGAAGGATAGCGAGGACATCCATCTTTTATTTTATAACATCTAGATTCTTTGAATTTATTTGAATGAACATATATCACTTGCCATTCAAAAACCATACATAAATAGATAAAAATAAGCTACCTGTTCCCCAAATGAGACAGTGTTGATAACACCAAGAGGGACTGAGCCCCAGTGCCCTAAGCACATCATCTCATCTCATCCTCACACTATCTCTACAAGGCAGATGCAACTAACCCTATATTATAGAGAACAGTAAGGCTGGCTCAGGGTTCATGGACACACAGTAAAGTATGCAGCAAAATACACGATGCATTTCCCAAATGGCACACAATTCCCCAAATGCAGTCTGCGTGCCCTCAGCAAACCACGTGCCATGATGTCCACAAACTCACCTGCTTATCAAACTCGGGCTTCAGAGAGTCTTCAGTGAAGATGTGAAATTGCATCTTTCTGTGGCTAAAGAGAACAGCCGATTTGAGCATAACCAGCGTCTCCTCCAGGCGATTGCCACAGGCCACCACGGCCAGGTGCATCCAGAGCTCGGGGGGCAACACAGCTTGGAAACTCCTGGATTCCCCTGACCTCCTAGAAAGAAGAAAAACAAGTAAAAGCGATTACTAAACTCATCAAAAAAAAAAAAAAAAAAAACCCAGCTAGTGAATGGTTGGAACATTTCAAAACATGAACAGGCACAATCTGTTATATTTTATAAAGCGATAAGCATTTTGACAATTCTTCCTGCTTAGAGAAAAATACCATTTATTCCCATATTTATCCTGGCAAGAGCAGGATGAGTCACTGTTTGGCCTGCTATAGGTGTCTGAGGCTTTTTCTGCCAGCACTCAGCTGTCTAGTGCCTGCTGGCTGCCTACTGGTCCATGTTTGGAAATAGTATTGCTAAACTTCAACAGCTGACACCAGGGCTGTGGCGCTCCCACTCGCACGGGCCATGGAAATTAGATTTAAATGCAACTTGAACAAGAGGAGGGTGGGTCATGGCTTTCCCATGTGAAACAAGCAACATGATATTCCCATCATCTGGATGGTTTTAGGTTGCGGTGGAATGCATGACCACAGGACCAAAGGAAAATCACGCAAGTCCAGGAGGTGAGCAAAGAAAACAACATATGTGTGTCCATTAGATCTTGGGAGAGTCTCGGAGAAACAGGTGTTAATCCTGACCGTCTCGCTCAAGATTGCTGAGGTGGTAGGTATGAAATTCAGCTTCCAGTCTGAAATTCATATTAATGACAAACAGGCAGGAGAGGGGACAGGTTAAGCTGGAAATTACCAAGGTATCAAATACTGAGTCAACAGCTGAGAGGGGAATAGGGTCCAAGAGTCCAGAATCATCATCCAGCTATTTCCTCGTAATAAAAGATTTGTTCCAGACAAGGAGATGCAGCCAAGCCTCAAACACACCACTGAGAAGCATTTGCAGGCAAGTTGGAAGAAGCTGGCCTCGAAAAGGTGCCCTGAGACAAATGAAACTAATTTACTTGCACAAAAGATTTGGAGACCAGGGGATCTTGGACGTTGAATGCCACCTTCCTTCCAAAAACTTCGAGTTCAATCAGTGCGCTGCTCCATTGTTCACTGCTCTGTCGGATAAAGCCAGTCCAGCTCCAGATTTCTTTCACCAGGAGGAAAGCTGAAGATGTGGGTGGAGCACTTTGGATAGTTTTCCAGGCTGATTACTTAAGAGCATGCTTAGAGGAAGCACGGCCTCCTGGCTCAGCTAAGCCCAGAGGCAGAGAGTTACTCGGCTTTCACTTACTTTGGGGATCACAGGAAGAGACAGCAGAGATGTCCTAAAGATCTCCTGAAAGGGCCCACTTGTCTTCACCCCGCTGTGGCTACCTGCTACCTGAAGAGCCTACCATCTTCTCTCACCTCCATCACTGTGACAGCTCCCTAGGTGGTCCACCTGCCTCCAATCTTATCCGTAACCCCACCCTGTGACTTCTTATTGCTGCCAGAGTGATGTTCTTCCAAAAGGCAAATAGCATCATGTTATTCCCTGGATTAAAATCATGTAAGGGCTCCTGATTGCCCTCAAGATCAAGACCAAACTGCTGATCACAGCTCCTACTTACATCTCTTGCAGCTGCTCCCAGCACCCCTGGCCTGGGTGCACAGCCATTCATAATCATAGTCGTAATTACACTTATGTTCGTACTCTCCATCTCATCCCAGTCATGGGACCATGCTGGGTTGTCTCCAAGTCTTGGCACATGGATTGTCTCTTTCTCTCTCTTGGAAATGCTCTTCTCTGCTCTCTTTTTCTTGCTAACTCCAGCCCATTTATTAATCAACAAATCTATACTGAGTACCTACTATGTGCCAGGCACTGTTCTAGGTGTTGGGACAAGAGTAGTGAACAAAACAGACCAAGGTGCCTGTCCTTGCAGAAGTTACATTCTAGAGGGGATAAGGAAAAGACAATGAAAGAAATAACAGTCAAAGCAAATAGTAACTAAGTAACTTAGAAAGTTCTCCAGTGCAAAGCACTTGAAAGAGGTGAGGGAGTGAGCCACGTGCATTTCTGAGTGAGGTGCATTCCAGGTGGAGGGCAGGGTCAGAGCAAAGGCGCCGGATCAGGAGCGTGCCTGGTGAATTTGAGGACCCCTGCCTTCAGGACTCAGACGTCTTCTCCTCCTCAGCTCCAGGGATGGCTTTTCATACTCGCTATTTTTAAAGCCAACTCTCAATTAACTTACACAAAAAGATGGGAAGAGGTGTCGCAGTTAATGCTACAGTCACATTCAATTTAGAAAGCACCATCAAAAGACTGGCCAAAATATGCTACAAAAGAGACTTAATGCCAACTCATTTGCTTAGAATGATGCTCAATATTTAGGAACGCGCGCATCACCCAAGAGTTCTAAAACAATAAATGCAGTAGCTTACAGATCTTTTCTTTTTTTCTCAAATATTTATTGTACCAACCACCGTCCTGAGCACTTTTCACGGAGTTCATTAGCTATCACAAATATGAACCATTCCCCTGCACCCAAACAGAACAACTCTGCCTGGTCTAGCTTTACACATGGGGTTTCTACATGAAGAAAAAGTTTTCACCTTGGTAATCAGGGAAATACAAAGTCAAACAATAAAGAGTTTCCATTTTATTTTGACATTGGCAAAAATTCAGGAATAAAATAAAAATTGGATAAATAAAATAAAAATTGGATAAATAAAAAAAATAAAATAAAAATTGTCCTTACGAGTTTCTGAGCGGCTATGGAGACCACGGACAGCTCAGGCCCTGCTGGGGCGCTGTGAGTCAGCCCAGACACCTGGGAGAGCCTCTGGGCAACATCCAGCAGGAGTGAGATGCACATACGCCCTCCACTCCGCCAGTTCTATTCCTACGTATATAACCCGAAGAAACTCTTGCACATTTGCACAAGACCCATGCAAGAATGTTCACAGCACCCCTGTTTATAACAGTGAAAAATTAGAAATAACCTTCCTGTCCATGCACAGGAGAATCATGAACATATTTGATATGTTTAAGTGCAATACTGCATAGCAGTGAAAATGAATAAGCTAGAATGTCATGTATCAACATAAGGTGAAAGAGGAAAAAAGCAATTTACAGAAGGATAGCAATAGAAGGATACCATTTAGATGAAGCTTAAAAATAAGCAAAACAGGGGCTGGCCCCGTGGCCGAGTGGTTGGGTTTGCGGGCTCCGCTGCCGGCGGCACAATGTTTCGTTGGTTGGAATCCTGGGCACGGACATGACACTGCTCATCAAGCCAAGCTGAGGCAGCGTCCCACATGCCACAACTAGAAGGACCCACAACGAGGAATATACAACTATGTGTTGGGGGGCTTTGGGGAGAAAAAGGAAAAAAAATAAAAAATCTTTAAATAAACACAGTGCAAAAAAGTTTAAAAAAAAAAAGCAAAACAGGGCCAGCCCAGTGGTGCAGAGGTTAAGTTCACATGCTCCACTTCGACGGCCCAGGGTTTGCCGGTTCGGATCCCAGGTGTAGACCAACACACTGCTGATCAAGCCATGCTGTGGCAGGCGTCCCACATATAAAGTAGAGGAAGATGGGCACGGATGTTAGCTAAGGGCCAGTCTTCCTCAACAAAAAGAAGAGGATTGGCAGCAGATGTTAGCTCAGGGCTAATCTTCCTCAAAAAAAAGCAAAACACCATTGTATGTTCACAGACAAATGTAGTAAAAATAAATATGCATGAGGATGACAAATATCAAATGCAGGATGGTGATTATCTCTAGGGACTTAAATATTTATTTCTTAAGATGAGTGCAAGGCACACAGAAATCATTATGTTATTATCTGTATCTTCTGTGTGTGCCCAAACTATCTGACAAATACTTTTTTTTTTTAATTAAAAAAGCTCGCACCCCTTGGCAGCACGGCAGGCCACCTCTCTCCTTTGTAGGCTTCTGTGATTTGGCACTGCACGGTACAAAAAGCAGGGGCTAGGGACTTCAATCTTCCTTGATGTCTGGCGACAGGTAATAAAAAAGACAAATAAAAGTCTCTCCTGGTGGTAGTTCAAGTATCCATGATTGGGATTTAACGAGACCTCCGCCGCCCCCACTCTATTACCGCTCACATTACATTAAAAATCTCAGGCTTCAGGTAATAAGCGTTTGTGTTGTGCGGTCACGATGAGTAATCCAGTGTAAGGGCGCTGAAACAGTGTGCCTTTCACCAACTCCTATCAATGGCGCACTCAGCACCTCTCAGATGTCACTCGAGACTCAGCGAGGATCGGGGGAAGTCGAGTCTCTGAACCTATGACTTAACCCCTTGAATCACCAGGCTTTGGCAGTGAATGGGTGATGGGCGACTGCAGCACAGCTCTGACTGAGGGCCAGCTGTGTTCTTATTCAGACTTTATAAAAGGGGACTGGAGTGGATGTTTGTCGTCCGGGATTTTCAAAGACCTATTGCTACGGCGGGAGCTGATGGTAACCATCTTGGCCACCACACTGGTAGAGCCTGAATGGGAGTCAACGTAAAACAGTAGAAAGCAGAGCCAAAAAGTGGTGGACCAGATCACTGGTGGCATTATTTGAGCACCTGGATCCAAGTGTGCCTGACCCTAACCTTGGACAGTTCATTTACTAACCCAATAAACTGTCCTTTGCTTAAGTCAGTTTGAAAGAAACTTACAACTTAGCAATCAAAAAAGAGTCCTAACTAGGTCTTAAAAATGTGTTTCCAATCACCTTGGACTCACACCGCCTCTCTCATCTCTCCCCTTGAGTCATCCTTTGCAACGCCCATTGAGTCCATTCCTTCCCTGTTGCTCACTGTGAGGACCCTGATCCAAGTCCCCATCATTCCTTCAGTCTCGTAGCTGGAAGGGATACCAGATACCAACTGGGACAGGGGATTCCCTACCTGGCTGCACGTCATAATCATCGGAGGAGTCTGTCAACATGCAAACTCCAGCTCACAGAGATTCCAATTCACTGGGTCTCGGGTGAGGCCCTGGAGTTTCCATATTAACACACTTGTACTACAACTGCCCGCAGTTCAGCTACAGCCAGGAACTAACCATCTGAGCTGACCTCTCCCCTCACCTCTCTCTCC